GCCATGACCAAGCCTCACGCGCCATGCTTTCCATTGTATATGGAATCTATTTTAACCTTCCCCTTGATTACGCACAGCTCATATTCGAAGACATGGTGGGATTAATCAAGAAGAAGTGCGCTACTCAGAAGGGTGAGAAGTCTAAAGTGAAGGCACAGAAGAAGGCCAAAGAGGAAGTAGATGCTTCTGAAGATCCTTCATCTGCATCTATGGCCATCAAGCAGACATAGGCTTTATCCTCTTCATCTGAGGATGATTCATCGGATGACTCAGCCCAGTCATGCTCTTCAGCAATAAGACCTTTATCCTTTCGCTGGTTGTTCTTCATCTTCTTGTACTTCTCTTTCAGTTTTGAGTATTTCTCATCTTTGGTCCTGAAGGAGGAAGGAGCTTTAGAAGATGGCGTCGTAGTCTTCTTTGATCTGCATTCACCTACAAAAGTGTCCGGGCCGGTGACAGTTGTAGCAGACAGCTGAAGCCTTGTCTATTCTTTCAGACTTTGGCTTTTCCCTAAGGGACAGCTGAGGAGATCTGTAGAAGTTGCTCTTACTGGCGAACCTCTTAAATGACTTAGTCAGGAGTGCCAAGGACTCATCAAAATCTGTTAAATTAGATTCTGGAATGTCCTCAGAGATAAAAGAATCTATCTCCGTGATAACAACATGAGGAAGAGAAGAAACAAAAGGGGTAGAAGAAGTTTCAACTGAAGAAGCCTCAGAGATCAAAGCCAAATGAGAGCTTTTCATTTCCCTGGACTCTTTTACAAGATTCCTCTTCAGTTGACGAGATTGCTCATGGTTAAGCAGAATCTTGTATAAAGTAGAAAAAGAAAGAATGGACATGTTATTTGACATCTTGAGACACATTGAAAAGGTGTCCCAAGACTCAGGAAGGCATTCTAGAAACTTGGTTAAAGTTTCAGAATTAGAATATTCCCTACCGACAGCCCTAAGATCAATAAGAAGGTGGTTAAATCTTTGATGTACTTCAGACAACGTCTCAGACTTTCCACAGAGATAACTTTCATACTGTCTTACTAGATTGATCTTTATGGTCTCTTGAACCTGAGTGGTTCCTTCATATTGGACACAAAGTGTGTCCCACATTGATTTAGAATTTTTGAGTTTCATCACTGAGTGATAAATCTCATCAGGAAGAGACATAGCTATTATAAACTAAGCACGCGTGTCTATAGCTATTTTCTTCTTGTCTTCATCGCTCCATTGATGTGGGAGCTTTGGAATCTGCCGTTCAGGAATCGTGGCAGTCGTAGTTGTTGCTGGAACAGCCGGAGCAATAGCAAATGGAATATATGGTCCATTTTCTATATAATGTGGAATTTCAGGATCCACACCTTCTAGAAAGAGGGACATCCGGTTCTTCCAAAGACTAAAATTGTCACGGATAAACCGGGGAGGTTTGGCAAAAGAGCCATTATCTTTTGTGTGTGTGTTTGTAATTTGTAAAGTCATTTGTAAGCGGTAAAATTATCTAAGAAAGGAGATAAACTAATACTGAAAACAGCTAAACAAAAAGAGAGAGAGAGAGAGAGAGAGAGAGAAAGCACTGCTCTGATACCACTTGTTGGTCCCTTGAGGGTCTACAAGATTAGTAAAACAGTTTGTAGAAGGGAGGGATGAATACAAACACAATATTTTCAAATTTAAAATATATATTGGCAAAGAAGATCAATACATATTTTACAAGATTGTTTGCAGAAAGATAAGGTGATAAAAACCTATCTAAACAATCTTTAGTTACACACTAAATTTTAGTAAATACAAGAAAAGAAATGATGTAGAGAAGATCCTTTACTTAAGCTAGAAAATGCTTGAAGTAAGAATTAGGGTTAAAGAGTGAGTTGATCGCACTCTGCATAGAGAAGAAACACTTATATTTATACCCAATGCATTAAATGTTCATTTAATGCAATATGGTAGGGTTAAAGTGCATGTCAAGCCTTAAGAGGAAGGCTTGTCCTTTGCTATAGTGAATAGTACAAAAGCACTATTCATGAGTAGACATCCTTACCTAAAGTTGGTGGACAATAGAGTCGACTAGTCGGCTCCGTACCGTACCAACTTTCATAAGGGTATGGGTTTGTCCTTTGTGTGCATAAGGACAAGACAACAACAATCGTGCTAAGCAAACTTCCTTTGATCGTTGAATGCTGGAATGACTTGAAGGTCTTTTCATCATTCGCTGAAGCTTGAGCAGTCTTCACACATATATAGACAGGCTTGTAATCACTAAGTACCACTTCAGATCACGTACTCGCCAGTCTCTAATCTTCAGTTTCAGTCTTCGACGTTTGCTGAAGGTTCTTTGGTGTGAGTGTTGTCTTCTTGAAGTATCTCTGTTTTTGATAGATATACAATACAAGTTCTTCGGCGATCACTGAACATGTTCAATGAAGATCGCTGGAACTGAAAAGACAGAAACATAAATACAACGTATAAGTGAAAAAGGATTATCATCAAATCACTTTGAGAGAGGATCAACACCATCCTTCATCAATTCATTGGGTGATGGTGGAGGCTCCTTGGGAAGGGTCTCTGCCATTCATCTATATCATGTCTTCATGCAGGTGGCAAGAGCCATGTTCTTTACACATGGGGTGGGCCCATGTGTTTTATCCATTTGCTGCCCATGTGTTTTATCCATTTGTCTTTATTCGTTATCAGATGCTAGATTGACACTTGTATCTTCATATGTCTCTTTTCCTTTATCCGAAGAGCATGACGAACATCTTCCTTTATTATGTCATCTGAATTGACATATCTTGTACTGGCTTGTGGGCTACATTTAATAATCTCTTTATCTAAAAGATTTATCTTTGTGCTCAGATAATTCTTCGTCACTCTAGGTGTTGATTTTGCTAGAGAGATCATTATCGATGAATATATCTTGTTTTCACCAAAGTGCGAAATCCTCTCTTAAAGCTGGCTTCCATTCCTTACAGGATGATTCGGATGCCTAGTGTCTTTCTGTAGTGAATATCATTTTCACAAAAAAATTGGAATTTTGTCTTTTTATTAGTTATCAAAATTGAAAAAACTTCAGATTTTGCCAATTGGACAAAATGGTAAGTTGAATATTTTTTTTCTTCAAAAAAATATGGTCCTGCAGGTAAAAAATTTAGAACCAGTATATCTTTTGGGGTTATCGTTGGGTTATTAAAATAACAATCTCTAACCCCCAACATTACCCAACAAGGTAATTCAAAAATTTCAGGAAATCAGGAAAAGTAAGATAAATCGAATTTATTGTACCAATATTTAATCTCCTAAGGAGATGATCCTTGAAGGTTATTAATTCTAGGGTAAATTCCAGAAAAATCTACATATCTTAAATCTGTAGAAGAAAGATTATATAAATCTTCTTCATAAAAGTTTGATTTTCAACATAAGTTTGTTGAATAAGGATATCTATTAATATTTCTTTTTCTTTAAAAATCATTTATTGATATCAGTAATATTTAAATTTTATTAATATTTATTTATAATTAATAGTAATAAATAATAATTAATATTAATGAAAGTTATAATTAGAAAAAGTGACAATAAGTTATCAAAATACTACTCTAAGTATCGTTTCACTAAGCTAGCTTATATATATCGAAACGTGTACCTATAAAATAGGTTAGCTTATATTTTCTAAACAATGTCTAACATTTAAGAATTAAGAGGTCCATCATGTATCCAGAAAACCTGGCTTGCCTATGCATAGGTGTAAGGCCATAAAAATCATGACTGGATGCAGAAAATGAAAACCTAAGTGACTGAAAAATTAGCGATCTATTAATTATCAAGGGTTTGTTGGTTAACAGCTTAATGGAATTCACAGCTTATTCAGTCAACTATAAATGAATGCTTGGTAGTGTTTAATGATATAGGAAGTGACTTATTTAGTAGGTTTATAAGAGGAAGTTTTATGCAGAAAACCAAGTTTTTCCGAAACCTGTTCCTCCCAATTAAAAAACATGAATCTTTCATATATGAAAAACTTTTCCAAACAAAAACCTTTTTAATTTATACAAACAGATCAATCCACACAAACAACTTTATCCATACATGACTGAGAGGCTGTGTTACTTACAACTTAATTATGGCTTATTCACACAATCCTTTTGGGTTATTTACTTACGACTTATTTGCACAACATACGACTTAATTGCACAGATGAAAAATGTTGTTTTCCCATTCAGTCAAAAAGTGACGCCTCTACCCCTTATTTTTTTAATAACACACGTTCCACACTTGATCTAAAAAACACGCATCCTCTCAAAAACCTAACCGTTGTATACCTCCTTTCCATCGACTAATGACAACCATTCTTTTCGGTGATTGCAATCTTTCCAGTGATCGACGATCAGATCAACATTTCTTACGACCAACGACCATCCTTTACTGCAACCAGTCCATGATTTCCTGCTTGTAAATCGATTTCTACAATGATTTTTGCTCCATATTGATTTCTTGCTACTAGATTGATTTCTTGCTTCTAGATTGATTTCTTCTCATATATATATATATTGATATTGATTTTTAATTGTTTAGTCTGTGGGAAAATTTGACCTAACAGGTTTCTTTTTCTACATTGATTCTTACATCTTTTGATTTCGAATTCTGCGATGATTGATTTATAGTGATGTGAGAACTTGATCCACCAAAATTCATGGTGTATTATTCTTGTTTCTCCTTACATTTTTTTTCTCATTTTATATTTTGATATTCAAATAATTTTTATCTTTTAAAAATATCATTTGCCTTAAAAATAAATTAACAATTTATTATAGAATTCATATCAAAGAGTAAATCAGTCATTTCTAAAATCTAGACGGTTGGTTCGAATAAAAAAGATAAACTATCCATGAACCCGAAACCCAAAAATTTGATAAAACTAATCGAACAAGCTTACTATGCAATTCAAAGGAAGGAAACGATTCATATTTCGGTATGGAAAAATCCCAAAATTGTATACAACCTGCCAAACGATTCACAATTCTGAAACTACGTCGTGTGTCCCCGAATACAGGGGTTTTGCTCGCACATTGCTGCTCCCTCCGATTACGGCTCCCTCTACTGACCTGAACGCCCACGAGCAGCACCAGCAGCACTCGTAACTATTCGTATGCGATTTTCTCTTTCGGAGTTTTGAATGCTGTTCTTTCTTACTTATCAAAACTTGAAGCTTTCTTCTAATCAATATTTTCTCTTTTGGAAAAAAAGGGTTTTGTTTGTTGTAGAAATGGCTGGGATTTTGAAGCCACAAAGTGGGTTTGTAATTACTCCCCACAAAGTATCGATCTGCATACTTCTGCAGGTCTATGCTCCTTCTGGTCAATATTCTGTGCCATTCCCTTTTGCCTCGGTTTCTCAGCATAATCGTCTTGGATTGTTCTTGATTGCACTTACAAAGGTAAACATTATCCTTTTAACTTTAGTTGATTCGTCCCGTAAAGGAGTCAGGACGTATAAATTATGCAAATCTTGATTTTCTTGATATGCATTCACCACAAGTTACCATTGATCATTTCGTCTTCTAACATTAATTATAGATTTTATAGGAAAAAGGAGCTGAAAAACGGGTTCAAACCTATGAGAAGAAATTTATCAATGGGGAGTATATAGTAGTAGGAGTTGAATTTCTATAAATTAAAACGAGTAACCACAAAAAAAAAGACGTAGGTATTGTGTAACTCGTTTAAAATTGCACAAAACTGAAAGCCAAAAGCTTCATGTAATTTGAGGCTTATGGAATTATAGTTTTGGTATCGTATTATGCTTATCCATTTGGGCGACATAAATTTGAGATTATTTGAGGTTCTCAACGATTGTAGTTAATTTTAGGTGTCTAAGTATAAAACCTTGGCCACCCAACAATACCGTGTTTGATTTCCATGACACTTTGTCCACGCCACTACAACCATGTCGAAAGGTCCCCCTGTTGTTGGTATCATGGGTGCCCGAGCCAGTTTGCATGCACCTTGACTAATCCCACAGGACATGAAGATAACAACCAGGAAAACCCTCAATGTCCCTGAGAAGACTTGAACTAGCGACCTATGGGGAGGAGCCCCAAGAGCTAGCCTTTATTTGCCAGTTGAGTTGTCGAAAGGTCCCTTGTAGTTTTGCAAAACAGGTTCTAAACTTCTGTAAGTTCATCCGAATAGGTAATTAGATAAGAACAAAGTTTACCAAATATTGGGCTCGTTGTTAAATGCTTATCAGTAATGCAAATGTACCTCCTCTAGATAGCCATCCCATTTTGAGATGGATCACCTAGCAAGGAACTAAATGATTAGCTTATTAAGGACCCAGACCAAGTAGCTCATAAGTCCCAGCAATCTCTCTTTTGGGTCTTGAATATAAACCCTAATATCTTGTTTCCATAATTATTCCACAACAGCCTAGAAGAAAATTTGTGGTATTAATCATATAGAAAGATTCATTAGGGATCCTTCATTGTTTATGTATATAATATTTATTTACAGCAAATTAAACTCACACATACTTCACACCTTAGGTGAGACTTGAATCCATGACCTCCAGGAAGGTGCGGTTACCTGGTACCATTTGGGCCAATGGCCCTTTGGTAGGAAAACTTCATTTGTTCATGCTATAAAGATCTTCTAACTTCCCAATTTGGGCCATGGGAGATGAAATTACCAATTTATCAGCCTTATTTTTTCAGTGATCAACCAATCATTGTTATTCTTGCGTTTTTCTACATGTTTGCTTTTGTATCTTTGTTAAAATTGTTTTTTCAATATGTTTACTTTCCTGATCTGTCTTGAAGTCATGTGATGATATTTTGGAGCCAACATTGGATGAATTCCTGAAGCTACTGAAGGAATTTGGTGGATTATTAGATAATTGGTTAAGTGATCATGTAACCGGTAGGTTATCATCATTATCATCACCAGATGACCTCTTTACCTTTTTCAGTGAGTTACGAGGTGAGCACTCATTTCTCTATAACTTACGTCCTGACATCTTCATTTATGCTACTCTCTTTGTTGCATTGCATAATACTTATGTGAACAATATTTATTATTTATAGTTGCATGTCCTATACACTTTATGGAATTTAATGTAACTGTGTCAGGCATCCTTGCGGGTCCTGAAACAAGCATTGTTGACGACGACCAAATAAATTTGGATCCAAATAGCAACCTTGGAATGTATCTTCGTCGTTGCTTGCTTGCCTTCAATATTCTGTCATTTGAGGTATACTTTTTCTCTTAATTGTTTAAAATGTAAATCCCTTTAATAGACTTTATCTATTCCCTTGGTATATACATTACTGACAGTGAATAGAAGAGAGATAAAGATTTTTGATGATTTTTAGCTGTCAGATCAAACTTTTAATCAATCTTAGCCGTTTAAATTGAGGTATTTTGTACACCACTCTTTTGAGTGAAAAATTGAATAGGTGGTTGCTAACTGGATGATGAACCTATTCAAATATTGATATTGTTAATATTGGTATTTGATAGTACTAGAAAGGTACTCGTGCGTTGCATCGAAACACATCTTGATTTTAGTGTTTAATTTTATATCTTTTTTATATCGATATAATACGGTTTTATGTGGTTTTGAGGAAATGATAATAAATTATTTTTGAATAAAATATAAATTTAAAAATATCATAAAATTTTGAAAAAAATATCAATATTAGTATCAAATTAATCTTTTTAGAAGTTCTTGTGTTTTGGTGTAATTTCCTTAATTAAATTTTTTTAATTATAATTTAATTTAGGTTTAGTAACAAAGAAATTTAATTTAGATTTAACTAGAAGCGTACTCGCGCAATGTAGCGAGATACATCGTGTTTTTAATATTTCATTTTATTTTTTATCTCAG